TTAATTTTTGAAATTGGATGCCATTACGATTGACGAGCGAATAGTCGCACCATGGTTGCAGCAATGGCCTAACATAGCGAACGTAATTGTCAACATCCAAACTAATTTCGTCAAAACATAAGGAATCAAAGCCATACTTTTTGGCAGTTTTGAATGTGGTTTGATCGACAATTCCTTTATTTCGTTTTGCACTCTCAAACAAGCTTACCGTCAAATGCAGATACGTCATAGGCCTACAGCCTTTAACTTTAAAAAACATAAATACTGCTAGGAATCGGGTAGCAAATGTAAGATTCGTTGCGCTAACAACAGGTGATTTGTTTTTGCATTCGTCCAATATAATCTTATAACGTGGTATATGAAAGGATATTACAGTTTGGAGTTCGGCTAAGCTTGCCCAACTCCGTCTTGGTTTAAGTGTTTCTATGTCAAGATCTGTCGTCCAGTGCGACCTCATTACTTTTGACAAACATTTCTTTGCTCTCTTGATGTAAACTTCAGTAACAGAGAAATTTTGCAGTACTGCGCCGGAGGGAGAGTTAAACTTTCGAAAATCTAACAGCTCAAATATGCTTGTCATGTAACCTAATTGGCCGGAATTTCCCATTTTCCAAGTACCCTGAAGATAATCAAGGAAACCCGTTAACAACTTCGAAGAACCAAGAAAATAATTTATAATTTCTAAAGAGGAAGTCGCATTCAATTCGTCCACGCCCGTTTCAGAACAACAAAATGTTATAAACTTGAGAGTCCTTGTCACTGAAATTTGTGATTGCTTTTCAGACTTGCCGCTCCCAGCCGTACTTTGTAACCACAACGAAAGGGAACGACATAAGTCATTTTCCGTAGAACAAACAAGGAATTGTATGTTTGGTTTTTGATGTGATTACATTGCCTTTTTCTTTGACAGTATTTGAAATAACAATAGGTTTTTGATCGAAATATTTATACCAAGCGTGCTTTTCGTAAACATGCTTCCTGCAACCGCGACAACTGCTAAATCCAGGGTGTTCGCATCCATTTACAGGACAACGATATAAGATATTAGAGTATTTATCAATTTTTCATTAATTTCAAGGGTTTTTTTCCGAAATGGATTACGCAACAACCTACGTGATAACTATCTTAACGTTTGGTTGTGTTAAATTTTTCAAATGTATTTTTAGACATCAACGAGTGTGATGATCCAGCTGCATGTCATGAGAATGCCACGTGCGATAACACACCTGGATTATATACATGCATGTGTGAACCGGGCTTCTCAGGAGATGGTAAAGATACTTGTGTTGGTAAGTTTTGATTTCAGTTCGTGCATGACGAAGGTAGAGCAGTAACCAAGACCTTCTTTTCCGCAGGTATCAGTACCGAATAAATCTGTAGAGGCTTTAAAAGTCATTTTTCGTCCGCAACAAATGCAAACGAGTCAAAATTTTAATAAGTTGAACTCGGACAGCTTGTGTCAATTACGTTTTGTAATAGTAACAAATGTTTCAAGTAACAAGAGCTTCAAGATTATTAAACTTGTTATTTGCGCACAGTTTCTATGGTATAATTGTACAAACAACGTGCATGTCTCAAACTAATGTTCTTAGTTTTACATTCCATAAAAAAGTTTTGCTCGGACTTTAAGGGGCCTTAAACGGCCTCTTACATGCACAACAACTGAATTATAGACAGGTTATACATATAACTAAATTATAAACAGGTTAATAAACAACTTAATTATAAACCCGGCAAACTAAGAAAAGAAACCGCGGTCCATGCCCGTGTAATTTCACATCTTAAAGCCCATTTGCACTTGCAATTTTTGCTGCTATTTTAGGAGCGATTTTCTTCTTGTAATACATGTAAACGAGCAGACGAGTTATGAATGCTCAGATGTGGTTACATAATTATACTCAGAACATTCATAACTTATCAACTCGTTCACATCCATCAGAAGAAGAAAGTCGCACTACAAATCGCAGTAAAAATTTCAAGTGTAAAGGGCTTCAATTGCCAGAAGCTTGTTTCGCTAAAAGAAGCTGTGCGAGCATGGATGTTTCTGCTCATGCGATATGCTCTCTCTTTTATTAGTTTGCCGGATTTGATTTCGACAATATCCGAAATTAATGGAGATGACTGAGCTGTCCTAAATGCGCGTGAAATCATAAATTCGTTTTCCTGGAACGTCGCAGGTTAATTCTTCCTTTGGTTTTCACCTAGTTCTTTCTCGTTTAGGTCGAAGGTATAGCCAATAATTTGAACAATAACGGACCCAGCAAAAACTTTAAAAACCTTCCTTTGCAATGAATTAAGTATACTTAACAATTACTCGCGGAAGGCGAGGTGATTATCGGTGAATAAAAACCGAGAACGAAGTCGAGGTTTTTATTCACAGTAATCACCGAGCCTGAGGTGAATAATTGTTTTAGTATAATTTCATAGGTGATTATTTGGAAAAAAATAAAAAATACACATTTCTTCGTCATTCAATTGGCAAAACGGCCACGGCCGTCATTTCGAAAATCACTTAGGCGATTATAGCGTTTTATTATATACAGTATAGTGCTTTATCATAGTTATAGAGATTTCGAGCACTGATAAAACTGATAATCACACATGTGAGATTACTACTCGCTGTGGCACCTGTGCCCAGGCGAGTATAGGTTTCGTCTGCATTCTCCAATCTCCAATCGTCGATAGCCACAAAATAGAATATTAATGAGCTGCCTAATTTTCACACAAATTATCCATAAGGCTCCTGCCAATTTTACCCAAATTACCCATAAATAACCCTGCATTTTGAGGAAAATTCGGGAAAATTGAACAATTTACAAGGAATGTCGACATGGAAACAGCTAGCAAGTGAGCAAAATGTTTCAAACAATTTCGTTAAAATTTTGAACGAATTGTACCTGTTTTCTATTGATTTCGCATTATGTCTAACTCTGGACATTCTTGCTAGTTTAGTTAATGCATTTTTCTTGGTGCACGACTCTGAAAATCCGAAATTTGTATCGTTAAATTCCCGTGCACGATCATGATATACTGAAACTGAATCTAAACGAGCTAACTCAGCTAAGACAATTTCAAGGTAAAAGGTTATAACTTAAACTACACAACGTAGTTTTATAATAGATAAATACTTTATGAGAAGCATACTGGTGTCATATCGATGTAAAATTTATCTAACGACAGTCCCTTAATATAGTTATAGCTGTGGAAAGGTGAAAGCTGTAGTGTGAAACATGTTACATGATATTGTATTTGTAATGCCTAGCTATTAAATGGCGCAATATAAGGATAAAAATACCACCGTTCGATTCAGCGTAAGAAATTGTACTTACGGATGTCAAATGTATTTATACTATATATATATATAAACAGTAAAACAACCGTATTCTAGCGATTTATAGCCTTTGTCTTTGAAAGCCAAGCGAAATTGTATTGTTGACAAATCGCTCAAAATGACCAAAATTAATATTAAACTAATTATAAAAAATGCAGTGCGTTTAATCCTTGATAACTTTGGAATCGTTGGTTTTCTCTTTTTCGGCCGCATACAAGTGGATTTTTCTCACTTGTCGCTTCATTTTGATAGTATTTTGAGCCCAAAAAACCACAAAATATTTTCTTTTGAACGTTTTAAGGCCTGTTAATCCATGCATACGGACCAACTGGCGGCCGACAGCGTACTAATTATAACTTTATTTGCAGACGGAATGCCGGAAGTTTCATTTGTAGAGCACCGCATTTTTGAGCCTTTCGCGCTCGTACTCGACTTTTCCGCTCAGCTCGGGGACAACCTTAATTCTTAATTAATAATAGTCGCACCATAGAGTATGAAAATGGCAATAACGTTCACAGAAAAAACCCGTTACCAAACACCGCCTTTCTTTTGCCTAAACTAAGGGGGTTGAGAATTGCCCATTTAAATATTGGTAGTTTGATAAAACATTTTGATGAACTTTTAATCTATATGCATGACAAACCTTTTGATATTTTGACACTTAATGAAACTCGACTTGATGATAGCATAACAAATTCTGAGATCAAAATCTCAGGATATGATATTGTTAGACGTGACAGAAACAGAAACGGCGGGGGTGTTGCAATGTACATCCGAAGTTGTATAACATTCACTAATCGGAATGACTTAGTTCTTGAGTCACTTGAACAAATCTGTGTTGAAATCAACAAACCTAAGAGCAAGCCGTTCTTAGTTTCCACTTGGTATAGACCACCCAATTCTAAAATCGAAATATTCAATCTCTTTGAAGAATTCCTTAAACTCGTTGATATTGAGGATAAGGAATTAATTACTAAAGGAGATTTGAATTGTGATCTATTACAACCAGATAAAAATGCGTCTACGGCTAGATTGTTGGATATATTTGATATTTTTCTCCTGAAACAACATATACAAAGTCCTACTAGAGTAACTCGATGTCATTATCAGTTCGATTGAAGACAATAAGACAGTGGAAGCGGGGGTTGTTGAACTGGGCATCAGTGATCATAACTTAGTCTACATATGCCGTAAAGTCAGTGTACCAAAGGAGCCACCTAAAATAATATTTAGTCGGCAATTCAAAAATTTTAGAGTTAATGAATTTAGAACGGATTTAAGAAATATCTTTGCTACTAATATTATTACGGATGACCCAAACAACATGTGGCATGATTGGAAAAATAGATTTTTGCATGTTGCTGAGAAACACGCGCCTACTCGACAACGTCGTGTAAAAAGTGATTACAAACCATGGCTTACTGAGCATATCAAAAAACAATGTTACCATAGGGACTTCCTCAAGAAGCAAGCAGTTAAACTTAAATCTGCATATTACGATACGGCTTACAAAAGGCATAAAAATTATGGTAATAGCCTTATCAAATCCACAAAAGCAGAGTATTTCAAAACAAAACTTGGAAACACAAAGAACAGCTACGATAGCTGGCAGACAATAAATAGCTTATTAAACAAGAAATCTAAAACTACAGAAGTAAATCAGTTAAAAATGGACAATCGTATTATTACGGGAGATCAAAATATTGCGGCTTGTTTCAATGACTATTTTGCTACAATTGGGCCTAAACTCGCTGAAAATATCACCGAGAATGGCGCCGATCCCTTGCGATTTGTATCTCCTATTAAAAATGATTTTTGCTTCAAAAACATCAATGCCTCTGAACTGTCCGACACTCTTGCTCAAATTAAGACTAAAAAATCACCAGGAATCGATGGTATAAGTATTAAACTGTTGAAAGCTGCTGGGAGATATAATATTTGATTCATTGGGTAGCATTTTTAATCTATCCTTACAAACAGGAATTTACCCTGATGACTGGAAATTGGCTAAAGTATCACCAATCTTTAAGGATGGTGTAAAAACTGAGTGTGGCAATTATAGACCAATTTCTGTGATTTCCATCATAGCCAAACTGTTTGAGAAATTAGTATGTAATCAACTTAAAACCTACATGATGAATAACAATATAATCTAAAAATCAGTCAGGTTTTCGAGAGCACCACTCCACGGAAACCGCTTTACTTGATTTAACAAACGATTGGCTTCATAATATGGATAATGGTTTATTGAACGGGGTTTTGTTTCTGGATTTTAAAAAGGCGTTTGACTCAGTCAATCATAACATACTACTTTCCAAATTAGAGCTTTACGGTATCAGAGGAACTAGTCTGAAATGGTTTAGATCTTATTTTAGTAACAAGAAACAGATTTGCTCTATTAATGGTAAGCAATCAGATGTAAACGAACTTAAGTGTGGAGTTCCACAGGGATCCAACCTTGGGCCGTTTTTGTTTCTCTTATATATTAACGACTTGCCCAGATGTCTCCAAACTACTAAGGCTAGATTATTTGCAGACGATACAACTCTTTCCATCAGTGCTCCAACCGTAGATGAAATTGAATCAAAACTTAACCATGATCTTTTGAATGTTAACGAATGGCTCATTGCAAATAAACTTACACTAAACGAAACGAAAACTGAATTTATGATAATAGGTTCACGCCAGCGAGTCCCGTCATTTGAGCTGGGCCCCATAATTAAACTTGGTAATCAAGTTATTAAGCGTGTACTCAATAAAAAGACGCTTGCCGGTGTAATTTTAAATGAACATCTAACTTAGAACAAGCATATCGACGAACAAAATAAAAAGATTTCAAACAATATTGCTTTACTAAGGAGAGCTAAATGTTTGTGCGTGAACATATCCTTAATAAAATGTATAATGCATTTGTAATTCCGAATTTCTATTACTGTTCCACTGTTTGGAACGATGGCTACAAAAGTAAACTTACAAAGCTATCTAAACTTCAAAAGAAAGCGGCACGTGTGATAACCGGCGCTTCATACGATGTACGGTCCAATGAAATATTTCGAAAACTTGATTGGATGCCAATCCATAAAAGCTTATCTATTCGAGAAAATATTGTTACTTTTAAAGCACTTACTGCTAATTCTCCGAATTATCTCACAGAAATGTTTAATTTCTGTTCAAACGAAACGTACAACTTGAGAAGTAACTTTTGCCAACTTTCCCTTGAGAAACCTAACACAAATTTTCTCAAAAAAAGTTTCTCATATAGAGCGGCAAAATCTTGGAACAATCTCCCGGATAACATTAGACAAAACGTCGACAATATCACACTAAATGTTGCTAAATCTATGCTCATCAATCACTACAGAACCGATTAAGTCCCTTTGGGTTAATTAGTAATATCAGTAGATTTTTACTATAATTAGAATAATTAGTTGTTTAATGTATTTGCATATATTATAGGTGAAGCTGACCAGTATGTAGGCTTCACTATTTTGTATTATAGTATTAGGTTAATATATGTTATATTTTTTGCACGGCCCATTGAAAATCAGCGTAGCATGCTGAATGGCTACCGTGCTTAAAGACTTTTAAAGATTAAAGAAGATTAAAGATTAATTAAATCTTAGTTGAAATAGCTGTGTACTTATGCATCATATACATTAATCGGTGCGTATTGGTATACAGTAGCCCCCAGCGAGTTAACGCTCTATAGAGCGTCCTGTTTATGATAATTTCACATGTGAGAATTATCGCTTTACAATTAGCACTTTTCTGTAAAAATTATCGCTTTTCAAAGACTGTCCTTTATATAATAAAAATACTTGGATGCTTGGAAATACCAGATTTATTTCTCGTGTAAATTGAACATAATATCTCACTCGTTTGCCGCGCTCACTTGTGAGGTAGCTATCATGTTCAACACTCGAAATAAATCTGGTATTTCCTCGCACCCATGTATTATTCTCTATATAATCACCTCAACGGTAACCAACCAGCGTGAAGAATTTTCAATAATTACCTATATGTAGTTATACTAATATGAGTTAATGTATTTCTCTGCCCAGCCCCATAAGTTCAGCACTATGACTTGACATTAGTATAATAATGGTATTTATTTTTATAGTATTTGATCCATGCGCTCAGAACAATTGTGACGGCAATGCCGAGTGTACAGCAAACAAGGACAATTTATTTAACTGTACATGTAATTCAGGTTACAGCGGCAATGGTACATTTTGCGAAGGTATGTATTTAAACAACATGTGAATTACTACATGTATTTATACGATTTTTCAGGACGATCTTTTTGGATGATGATAAAGCCCGTTTTCGACTAGGCGAATTTGTTCGCGCGGAACGAAGCGAAAATAAAATCTTGGAAATCTGATTATTGGTCAGCGAAAAAATTCGCTGCGAAAATATTGGATGAGTTCCTACTTTTTGAGTGTTCGCGCGAACAATATCTTCTAGTGGAAAATGTCTGGAGCTTTAGCCAGTGTGCTATATCTAACTGAATGCGGATATTTCGTCTTCAAAACTTTAACATGGACTACTAAGTATGGTAGTGATTAGGAACATTGATGCAAATTATGGATGCACAGGTTATCGTACGTATATGTAGCTGGATATCCGATCAAATAGGGGAATAAACTTCTCTGGTATGTACCAGAAAATCGAGATTGTCCAGATATTATTTTTAAATTAAAAATTCATTTGAGAGGATTTAAAAGGTTCGTGTTTCATATTCTATCTTGAAATGATCCTAGAGAAGCTGGTAGTTCTTCCAACAACCAGCGTGCGAATTAATTTCCAAAATTGTATAGGTCATGATAGTTTTGTCGACATGCACAAAGATTTTTGAGATACTTTTGAATGAAATGCTGTTGATAATTGATAAGACTGACTGGAAAGTTGACAACCATGCATGTTTATAAGAATGTTAAACGGCGATGTTCTTTCCAATAGTCTCAAGTCGGAATATGACGAACACCCATACGTTATGACTAAATAATATTTAACAATTATTTGCCGAAGGCGAGCTGAGTATCGGGGAATTTTTAGACAAGTTTTTTGTGTTTTGGTGGACTGAATTTATTTTATTTTCGCTTATTTCTTTATCAGTAACTTCCACAAAACGGCTAGCCTGGCGTTTGTAAATTTCGGTTTTGTTATATTCACCTGTATAATACTTCAAATTTGACCAATCAACTAGTAGGATTTGTTATGTTCACTTGTGCAAAAATACTAATGTGCTTTATTTAATTATCCGGCCAGATAATCCGGTAATCCAATTTCATTCAATATCACCATCGTTGGCTTTGATCATTCTCAGTTTCTAACGCCCGTATTCTAAAAGCTCACTCACACTCACATTCACACTCACACTCAATGAGTGGAGGTTCAATCTGAGTGTCAGTGCTGTTTTTGAATAGCTGGATGGTGTGTAATCACATAGTAAGATACGACACCTTCCATCAAGCTATTCAAGAACAGCATTGACACTCAAGAGAAGCTCAGATTGAACCTTCACTCATTGAGTGTGAGTGTGAGTGAGCTTTTAGAATACGGGCGTAAGACGTCATGTTAATATCAGATTGATGGGCAATGTGCTCATATTGACATTTTCTATTACTGTAGATATTGATGAATGCAATGGTGACACGTGGCCTTGCCATGTGAACGCCACGTGTGCTAATGACATTGGGAATTTTACATGTACGTGTAAAGATGGATTCGAGGGCAATGGAACACACTGTGATGGTCAGTATTGAATATTTACACTTTTTATAATCATGATAATATTAATAATTAGAGTGTACAGTAATTAGCTCAGTTGTTGTGGTTGCTCGACGTGTTTGTCTGTGTTCGTCTCAGTCTGTGTCCATGCCATGTCTGTGACACGCATATTTAGTGTAATAACTTATATACATGTGGCAAAGTTAAACAAAAAATAATACAATTTCATTATGAATTAAATCATGATATGTATTGAGTGCAGCTATTATTGCCTTCAATGTATCCTATAATTCCCAAGAGAAAAAGCGAAGTAATTTTCCAGTTGGGTCAGCGAAGTGCATGCATGCATGTGTGTATTATTAGTAATGTAAAGGTTATTCAATATTCGTACTTTACGCAAATACTTCACCATCAAACAGAATGAGTATGTCACTTAGAATATGACAAATACTAACGATTGTAACACATGTATATTCCCCGAGCCGGCGGCGCGAAGCGCCGTGCGAGGGTACTAATTCCCCCCGGCTATTTACACCCGGGGAAACGAAAGCATTAGGGAAGTCTGAAGTTCATCAAATATCGCGGGCGTGGGTCACTGTGCGTGTTTCGGTGGGTGGTCATCTTCACTGATCTCAAAAATATGGCGGACTGTCATGAATAGCGAACACTGATTGGTCAAATTTAAAATTTGTTGTTGTACGACGAATGACGACTTCAACTGACAGATACTTCATGGAAATATTTTGCTTTTTGCACTGCAGTATTTTGTACGTTTGCAAAAAACTTTGACAGCTTTCAAAGCAATTTGCTCTATAAAGAGTTTAATAAAACAATTATGGTATCAAATACCAATTGAAAAGATATGGACTACTGTATGGAGCAAAATGAAGAGCGGCAAGGAAACGACAAGAAAGCCGAACGTCTCGCGAAAAGGAGGGAGCCAGCGAAGACGACAACGTTTGCTAGAGGAGACTGCTGAGGAAAGAGAAGCTCGCCTGGAAAAGCGTAGAGAAGTATGGAAAAAAAAGACTGCTGAAGCGTGAAAGGTATTAAAGCAAAGGCTTGTCTTCACAACGCTATGTACCAATGATACTGTAGCTATACAAGTTTAAGTATGATATTCGACCCTCTATATGCGACTATTTCTTCACAATTTTCCAATAAAGAGTTTGTCATGACACGCTCAAGTCAGTATAACCAGACTGTATTTTATTTATATCAGTTATCACAGCCACAGCCCACAGGCAATTTTATGCTGTCAAATACCGTCGGTGGCAACTAAGGGTGAACAGTTGCAGATAAAACATTCTCTATTCTCATTAAAAAGCCTGTAAAAGTTTCCAGTAGGTCTCTAGCCCAACAAGTTCAGACAAAGTTTTGTTACTTATTTTTATTGCACACATGGGAAACAACAATTAATTAAGTGTTGTTGTTC